GAAAGAGCACGTTGTTAACAACACGGAAATGTCATTTAAACGAATTTCTGCATCTTGTGTGCACAACCTGTCTTATCTAAATCTGTAATAACCTGCCTGGTTTTATTTGTTTCTGGTTTTACCTTGAATTTACCATTTTGTAGTTTTCATCATCTCAAGGTTGGAGAAGTGACATTTTATGCAGTTTCTTTTTGTGTGCTTGATTCATATGCAAAAATATGTGCGCGACCTTATTAAATTTGATTAAATAATTAGGCAAGCGGACCTTGGGTGATAATAATCGATTGATCTTGGCTGAATGTAATCGGATTGACCTTCAACGGAATGCGGTGTTAAGTGATTAGATAATATCTTTATTAGTAGACAAATATTTTCTTTTCCTTTCACACAATGTAACCGAAAACAATCTATTAATTCAGTTTTCGTTATTAATAATGTATTAATTTTAATTATTGCCGCAGCGAAAATCAAATAAATTTTCATTTGGTGTCGAACATTAAATTTACACGATATGCAAATGTGGTACAGTTTAGTATGCATCATTTGATACCGTTTCATAACGAAACATAAAGTTTACAAATGAAAATCCACCATACGGATTTGGGACAACTGTTGTTTATTCCACTACCAAATTGAAGGAAATGCACACTATATTGCAAATCATTAATAAAATAGCGATGACACCTGGTTCGAGGAACATCTGGTGCGGCTTCCAGATCATATCAAATTACAGATGAAATCAGTTTATTATAGCCGAAACAAGTCACGAAATTTGTGATATGTCAATATATTAAAAATATTGTTTTAATAACTGCATCGGGCATTTGGTACTTAAACTATTGAAATCATTAAAAAACTTTTTTAGTTACCAGTGTTAAAAATGGTCGCCTAGACATTAATTACCCTAAATGAGTCTTTATTCGATCGCAACGGTTTCATTTCTAATTAGAACCGTGTTTGTGCTTTTGAAAAACAAATTAGGTGAAACGGATCGTTTCACGTCTCTGCGATAAAATCTCTCACATATTTCACTGGCTTTTCCCGTTGCTCAATAAATCAGATTGAGCACGAAAAGCGAACAAAAAATTACAATAATCGTGATAATAAATACAAGACGTAATTTCTATTAAACGGCGTAGATCCGATCCCTTTATACCTACATATAATATGCGCGCAAAGATCGTTTTTTCAGTCGTAAAGTTGCTGCTATTTCAGAATCGATCTCCTGAAAAATATAAAGCGTTCAAGTTGCGAACAGATTTAGTCAAGTCAGACGAGATTCTGTGGAATTATTTACAGACAATATAACAACAGATATTACACGTTCCGAGTCGTGCTTGACATGAACGAGACTATGAAAAATAAACTGTTATTTAAGCAGAGTAGGGAAAATTATCGTGAAGATCCACGTCGTCTCTGCTAACACGTGCCTTTATTTTCTCGATGGAATGCTCTCGACTAAACAGCGGTTATGCGGTTTTTGCCGTTGTAAATGCTTGAATTGTATGAAATTTTTGTGGTCGATTGGCATAGCTCCCGGATGCCTAAATCGTCACTGTCTAAATAACGGATAGCTTCTGCATTGAATACCAGAGGTCCTCGTGTCGTTGCACATATACCATAACTATGTCGTCAATTGTTTAAGCGAGACGCGACATTAATTTATTATTAATCAATTTGTTCATTTGCATCAAAGTTAATTTTTCTTAATCATCGATTTGAAAGGTGTTAAATTGTTGATGTTTTCGGATTTGTTAAACTTTAATTGGAATTTATACAAGTTGCATTTGTGGTCTGCGGTGGGAGTAATCATATAGTGAATAAATAATGAGTGTTGGCAAGTTGAGCCAAGAGTTGCTATTTTCAGCAGTAATTGTATGGAAGTAATTGTTAATTACTGTCAATACCTCGTCAATTACTGGGAGGAGGATCATATGGCATCTCTTTAAAGCGATTTCCAGGAAGGAGCTCTGAATAATATATCTTTTATTTTATTATTTAACTTGCTCACAATACCATGTATACAATTGGAAAAATACATTTTTAATAAAAAGCTCTTGTGTGAAATATCTGTTGGCTTCATAAGTTAATGCAGAGTAATAGTACGAGCAAGATAATTGTGCTGTGGAATCAGGAAATAATTCTTGAAAGATCGTGGTACTCCAGATATTACAAACGGTTAACAATCATTTCAGGAATTTGTATAGACTTTTGTCGTCTTTTTACTTTGCCAAGTCAAGCATTTTGAATTTGATTTAAAGAAAGTTATTGTTTTATCTACTTTAAGTCAGCATAAGAATTATGTAGATAGTATTAAATAATCTCTTCGTATACTCACTTTTTACTCGTGTCATATATTTCAATTCTAGAAAGACACACAATTTCGAAGCGAATTTGTATTCGTATTTTTGCGATTCAGATAAAGCTTCTAACTTGCAATCCAGTCGGTCCTTTACATAATTTGAAGAATTTGCTAACATTATACCTACCAATTTTTCCAATTTATTTATCTCTAACATTTTACCACTAATATACCAAGGAATAAAAAGTTTTGCTTAAACTATTAATTTTTTGAAAAAACTAATTATTGAATGTTGAACTGATGAAGTAGGTACTATAAAAATGTGATGTTTTATCAAGAATAAAAATTTTCGAAATTTTCTTTTGTTTTTGAGTTCTACAAAAAATGAAAATTTAAAAGGAAACCCACTGTAAAACCCTTTTTTTTCATAAAGGTTATAATAATCTAAGAATTACAACTATCTATACTTTATATTTAATATGTTTTCAAAAAAATGTTTATAGATACATAAGTTGCAATTTTGACAAAGAAATCGCATAACCATAAAACAAAACAAAATTTCGTACTCAAAATACGATCACATTTTTTATATTATTTTCTGAAGGCAAATGATTAAAAAAAGTCGCTTGGTTTCATACATTATTATTCACTCTGTATACTGGGTTCGAACGTTGTCGTTTAGTTCTATATGTAAAATTTGATTCGATTAAAATTTATTTATGCGCTATATTATTTATGCATACCTGAACCTATTATTAAATATTGAATAATTGTAAGCGACACTCATTCTGTCATCAGCATTATAAAAGCAATTCGAATAGCAATATGTGGTATTAATTTATACATCATACAATCGTATTTATAATCTCTAAATTATTTATACAAAATTGACAGTATTATTTATACCACATACAGTGTTATTTATGAGAGGGGTATTTTCGATTTTTTTTGCCGCAACCCATTATACATGTTGCAACAATTTCTTGATTTCAGTTCATTGATCCACAATGACTGAATATGTTGGCAATCCTTACCCTAATTTTTAAAGCTTATCATTAGAGTATGCTTTTGATTAAGAACAATTCAGCAATCTTGTGGGGTTGTACGTCAAGTATTTGTCAAACAAAACCGTATCCGGTTGCAGTGTTTCAAATTATTAACAAAAATACTTTCAAATCTGTTGCCAACAGACTCAGTCTTTGTGGATCACTTGGTATAATTGAATCTACGATGGCTATTACCTATTAGTCTAGTCTCTTTGATATTAAAGCAAAAAATCATCTCTCACACGATGAGACATGTTTTGTTTTTGTTTACCAACCGACTGGGCTCATCTTATGAAGCCGATGGAAGACACTTCCAACACCTTTTACATTAATTTAACTTGTTAATTTATTTGTTGAATTTTGATTAAATACAAGTTATCTGCCAATCAGACGTTTCTAGACGTTTCTGACAAATCTGTTCAACTTACTTTGATTTATAATTTAAAATAAATAACATATTTAATTTAGTAGTTAGTGATATTGCTATGGTTGGTTGCAGCACAAAAAAATTCAGAAATACTCCTTTTTTGAATAACACTGTATTTATTATCGAATTTTCTATATTTATAGTGAGGAGAAGCGTTTATTCGCGCAATAGAACTTGCAAACACCAACGCCGAATTTTTTTTTGTTTAGTGTCTTATGCAAAGCGATGCATTAACCTCTAACGGCAGTTGTGGGGAGCTTCGTGAGCAAGGTTTCTGAAACCATGTACTCGTATATGCAATGCGGTTCCATTTGGGAATATTACGAGCAAATACTCGACTTCATCGTGTTGTTCGTTAAAATTACACCAATTAGCGATCGCCTATTCACGTTAATGGCCATCGAGTTGAGTTAATTGACTGTAAGCGTCTTTTACCATTGATGATTCGCAAAAAAATGTCATGTTTATGTGTGACGAATTAATTAAAATTCTAGTGAAAATGGTTTTAAATGTCATTGTGTTTTGGAATACCTATTAGTTTTGTTTGTTGTTTTATGTGTTTTGGTTGTTGATATAGCCGCATAATATTCATCTATTATCAATGCTAATTGAGTTAGTAAATTTAAATGGCAAAGTTTTAGCATTTAATATATTCGTTTGATAAATAATGTTTACGATTAAGGCGACACAACATTGGAATTGCGTGTTTAGTTTCTCCGTTGCATATAGAGACCGGAATAGAAATTGGTTGCATCATGGTAATTTCTAATAATATAATGTGAAATAATTTCAGGGTAAGTGTTCTAAATATTAGTGGAAAGTACGTTTCCACAAATTACAAAGTCGTGCATTCCACTCGAACAGTTTGAAACTGTAAAACTTCTCGCGAATATAAGTTTTCTCAATATGAACCCAAGTAAAAGAACAAACAAAACCGACGACGTAATTGTCTTTGTTCAAGTTAAACATAACGTTACATGACGGACTAAAATTCGGCAGTAAGGAGAGCGTAACGGCCGAGGATTCCATAAAATAAGATTGCTTTAGTGGTCGTACAAGAACTAATTGCTCCCTCTATTTATTTAATAGTGTTGTTTACATAAACGCCTTTTTCAATCGCGGTGGTTAAATTATGCAAACTGGCGAAGAACTCCCGTGATTCACTCTAATCGCATTATTTACAAACGCCGTAACAGTGCATTTATTCGTTTTTTTTTTGTTGCAGGATATTACCAGCCGGCAGGACCATTAATAAGCGTTCCACATGGGCACACCCAGCAGCAGGCGCCGCCGCCCATAACCAAGAACGCGCCGCTTTCGGAGACCTCGCCGACGTCGGCGTCGCCCATACACCAACCGCCTCCAGCGCCCAGCTCCAACGGAGATTCTTCGGATAGCGAGGCACGTAATTAAATCATTCCAGATTCCCGAGATACCGAAACGTTGAAATTGACGATAAATCAAAACAAAGTTACCGATGACCGATGAGGATGATTTGTTCTTGACGCTTCACTGCGTTCGCTTGTGAAATTTTTAAAGCTTTATATTCTGATGCCGGTTTGTGGATGCTAATCGAGCGATTGCTTCATTAGGTGATAATCACGTCGGTGACGGCCGGCAAGGAAACGGTGCCGCCCCCGCAGCAACCGCCGACTTCGTATCGGTATTCACAATATCCTGGGACACCACCGGGATATCCCTACAGTTATCCACCGCATTATTATCCAACTCCACCCCCGGCACCGTCCTACGCTCATCATGATCTGTGTTATTCAACGACTCCCTATTTACATCATAAATATCCACCGACGACATACAGGAGGTTCTTGCCGAGCACGCAGTATTACGCCCCCAATCCGCCGGACATATATGCAACACCACCGACAGGACCCTCGCAACAGAATCAGCAGGTTTGACAAAATTGATAAACAAATGCTTATCTTAACGTGCATGTGTGTATTTTTTTTATTACGGTCGTCGGATACGTCATGCGATGTAAAAGCCAGCATTCATTGTTTTTATTTCTTTTATAGAATTTATTGTAGTCGGTCTTAAACTAATTAATCTTTTCTTATCTTGACAAATTTCTCGTGCAGGTGTTAAAGTTCGTGAATGATCCAATTTTTAAAATGCTGATACTGTCGCTTACTGCTTCATTTATAACTAATATTTTATTTTCGGTCACAACACTGTATCTAGTGGATTTGTTTGTATTACAAAAATTCTGGTCTGAAATTACCAAAGGCATGATGTTACCTTTTTTATTCTCGATCGAAAATTTATTTTTTCAAATAGGCGCAGAACGGTACACAATGAGTGTATTTTGTTACGAAATTTGTGGCACTTCTATTAGTACATATGTTAATAATCATATTGTTGTGTAGACTGATTTTATATTCCGTTTTTTTGAAGACTTTTTAAATGGACAGACATTTTTTATTTTAGATTTTTTTAAATAAAATTTGTCAAATTGTAAAGTCAAGCAAGATTCTCTGGGTTGGACATTAATTTCACTATTTTTAAGGACTATATTTTTTGTTACTACATATTTTTTTAAATGAGAATAATCGGCTATAATTTTCTGTAATTTTAGTAAACGATTACCAATAATTGAAAGCTAAATGCGAGTGTTTGTAGCATATTTCTAAAAATCTTCTCGATCGTTCAAGGAACTTCCACCTCCCAAAAAAAATTCAAAATTTTCCTTTTATACAATTCTTAAATATTATTCGAAACTCTTGAAAATCTTTTGGAATGTCATTTCGTACCTTATATAAAAACAGTAAATGATAGTTTGAGCAGTATAAACGTAAACTGCAAGCGGAAGCGATTAGTGTAAATGAAGACATTAATTAGTGATTTATTTACAACGTCTTTAATTATGTTGTGAAGTAATGTTTACAGTAAAGATTTTTTCATTTGGCTTGGAGTTTTTCTATTATGCATACAGTGTGACAAGAACTAAGAAACGTCGCAATAGTGTTATGTATTATAAATTGATCGTAAAAGAATTTCATTGTTATCTTGGCTACATATTTTTTTCTTAAATTGCTAAATACATATCTATCAGGTATAGGGATTTGAATTGAAACATTTAATACTACAAATTTATTAGTATATCAAATAACTATGGTTGTAGCCATCAACAACTATCTGAATCAAACTCGGCCTTATTAATAAATAAATGGGAACAAACTAAATGCACAGTATATTATTTAATCAACAAGTATTTTTGATCAGTAAAAATAATAAATTCACAGTAAAATAATAAATCCACAGTAAAGACAATGAATGAATGAATGTCTAGTAAAACTAATTCATTTAATATTGACACATTTACAAACAAAATGTTTCCGAGCAGCAAAGTCGTCGTATCAGGAGCACAGCAGTGCAAAGTGTGGCGTACGCTGATTAGACTGATTACCATTTATGCACAGTTTCCAGTCCTTGCTAAAATCATTCTTGCGCAAGGGCCCTTGCATTTAATACATATACCACTCTCTAATAATTATAAATATTCAGTAATATAAAAATAAGTACTAATAATAAATATCATTCTTGCGAAGGGGTCATACATTGTTATGTAACTCAGATTGAAAATTCTTAAAATTTTATATTGTTTTACTAATTTTGATTAAAGTTACTGTGCGTTTATTATTTTTACAGTGCAAAATATTATATTATACTGATCATTATTAATGAAAATTAATGAAATACTGATTATTTATCATTTTATACTGATTAAAATTGAATTATTTACTGATCGCTTTATTACTACCCATAAATAATTTAGGTAGTTTTCGATTCACACTTTAGTTTCAGTTCCGCATTTTTAAGTATGCTTAAGATGTTAATAAGCATAAATATGTTCGTAATTCATGCTAAATGCGTATAAATATCTGTTATCAAATCTAAATAAAGTACAACCTACACTTACTTGTTCCAAGTACCAGTGGAACTATAACCAAAGCTTCGTGATTGAAATTTCTAGTACCCATTTTAACAAGAGATCTAAAGTGTTAAAGCGTGCAATCAAGCTAATTTAAGATTAAGTGGGCAGAACTTGAATCTTTACTTATTTCAAAATGTAATTTTACGACAGGCATCATTAATCATTATAATAAACGTGATTTGGATAAACTATTACTAGATTCATAAAAACACGTTTTAAACTTGTACTTGTGTGACTTGAAATTATAAAAGAGGTAAATATAAGAGCTACAATCACTAATTGCAATTAGCAGCATAATTAGTGCATCATTTTTTGTTAAAATGATTACAGAATAATGATAAAGTCCTGTCCAGAATTCATAGCTCCGCTATTCTGCAATTTTTCGAAAAATGTTCAAATAAGTCAATTTACATTTCAAAAAGGCACTTTTTGGTATATATTGTTTGGCTTTTAGTGCTTTTCTAAAGTGCATTTTTCGAAAAAATGCAGAATAGCGGAATTTTGTGCAGGACTTTATCATCATTCTCTATACATATTTAATTAAATGTTACACATTTTACGACTGTTTCCATTTATTTTTGACTATTATGTTAATTTAAATTGGGATGCAGCTATTTTTCAACCCTTTCGCAGATAAGTTTTTAAAAATAAATTTGACATCACTTGTGCCACTTTTGTCAAGATGATTAAAGAGATTGGAAAGTCGTTTTGGGATCATATACGGTACCGTTATAACAAACTGGAAAATAATCGGAATAAATTCTATTATTATGACTAACACAAGATAATGATATCTGTATCAGTAAACGCTATAATGTCAAGTTATGCATCACCATTTTTTTTTTTACTTTTACAGGTAGTAACGGCAACGCCGGTGTCAGCGAGCAGCAGTTCCTACCAGCCGGCTCCCAGTGGACCTCCTCCTGCGATAATGGAACCTTATCCACCTCCACCTCCTCCCACGCTAGTGGAAACGTACCCCCATCCACCTCATTACTACCCTAGTTATGGTCCCGCGCCTCCATCCTGCTACACTCATCCGCCGGCCACCAGGACCTTACCCTACTTAAGTAAGTAAAGTTTTAAGTCGTTTTAACCGAGTTGAGTATCGTTTTGTAGACGCAACATATCAAAGTTGTCCTTGTCCAATGCAATCGTGTCCAAAAAACGTACTTACTGGGCCTCTTACTGGAGATAGTAAGAGGTCTAACATTTCGTCAATTGCAAAGGACTCGATGCCACTACCACCTGTTGCCTTAGCGTTACCTCTGGAGCCGGCTAGCGCTACAGGTCCTCCAAGTCCTGCCAGAGGATCAGCCGGCATGCCACCACCACCATCACCAGCGGGGGCGACATACCAACCGCCTCCACCCGCTCCCAAACAGGAAGAAACAATCGAGTGCAATCCCGTTGAAAAGAAACGAAAAGCGAGAGTGGGCAAAGCAATGGTGAGGAACAACATCGCAGCGATCCAACAAAATACGGCGATGTTGTTGATGTGCAATCCGAATCAGCGGAGCTTCCCTGGAGAAGTCAAGCGAGAAATAGAAAGTCCCAAAGAGAAAGAAACTGAAACTAAGAAGGAAATTTGCTCGGATGAAGATGTCAAAACACCGAAGATTATCCTGCAGAATTCGGTTGAGCCGGAAATTAAAAATATTGAAAGGATACCAGAACCACAAAATTTGAAAAAGGAGGAGAATGTGGAAGAGAAGGAGGAAGAGAAAATCGTAGAGAAGAAAATATTGATGGAGGAGTTGCCCCCGTGCGTGAATACCGTAGCAGAGAATGTTAAAGTGAAAAATATGAAAAGAAAAATTTCAACTTCGAAGAAAACTGAGGAAGAAAATGAAGTTTCACCGAAGAAAGTTAAGTTAGAAGGAAAGTATCCGAATGGTTCTTACAAAGATTTGATTAAGAAAGATACGAATACTGTGAAGATAAATAATGGCAAAAGAAAGTTAATAACAGAGAACGACGAGACAACTAAGAAAACTAAATCTAAAACAAAGAAACAAACAACAAAGCGAAAATTGAATTCGACAAAAGAAGAAGATGTAACACCAACCAAGCGTTTGAAACAAACTAAACCTCTAACTGCAAGCAATCAACAAAACTCCAAACATTATTCTAAAGAAAAAGACAAGAATAAAACGGAGCCGGTATTAATCGAAAACAAAGAACCACAAAAGAAATCCACCAAGAAGCTTCCAGTCAATTCAAAAACAAAGAAACTAGCTCCCGCCATTTTAGACTCTTTAATAGCGAAAAACAATATAGACAGGACAATTGACAGTGTGATAAGTGAATCGTCAGTGCGGACAAACACAAGTGCTTTAAAGACAGTTGATAAGTGTGCGAAAACAAAAGAGCCAGTTTTGAATAATAAAAAGAGTACAAATAAAAATGGACAAATTAAAAACAAAACAGTCGAGTGTCGGAAAAGTGTGGTGACTAGGAGGAAATCTAAATGCAAGGAAGTGCCACAAGCCATAACTAGAATCCCGAGGAGGTCCTTACAGTTGCCCAGGTGGTCCAATGGATGGACGTGGGAAGGAGAACCCTTCGAAACAAAGGTCTTTTTAAATGTAAGTGCAACTGGAATTTATGTGTGATTGTCAATAAGGTCGCAGAATATAAATTTAAATAGCAATTTGTCAGCTAGCTCGGCATTTTCCAGTTGTTATGATTTATTTCGGGGATTGTGAAATGGCGCGAATAAAAAAGAGAAATGTTGAACTCGATTATAACTCTTGTTATAATTCTTTGATAATGCCATATGTTTTTGTGGCTGCGCTCCATTCGTTCTTGTAAATACTTTGTACAAATGTCATATTATATGACATTATCGGATAATCGAAGACGGAAGTGTAGTTTACTGGTATGCTGCTTATGTATTTATCTTCGAAATTATCTTGGTTACAGTTTCCAGTTACATATGTTCATGTTTCATCTAATTCGTTTGATATTATTACAGCAAAAAATTAACAGATTGCTCAGCTGTCAACAATAAAAGTTGTAGTTTATATTTAAACAGATTAAGATAAATGAGGCTGTGTTACAAGAAAATTGTTAACTTTTTTTTACAATTTTTTCTGTTTATCTGTTTAGAATATTATCGCAGAGGTAATAAATAATAATTGTTTGTTTTTTAAATTTTAATTTAAAAATACGGTTTTGTGCTATTGTGGAATTAGGTTTTACGAGGTGCAATTTAATTAAAACAAACCAAATAAACAAGAACATTTTTAATTTTTTACCTAGTGTTTACGTTACAACACTACTGAATTGTTTTTTCAATTTTTACTTTTTTTACAAACAAATAAATACAGGGTGTTTACGGTCTTGAGGTTGAAATTTAAATTAGATAATATTTACGGTAGAAGAAAACTAATACGCTATATAAAACAAAAAAATCACGTGAAAGGAAATAAATCATTTTATATTATTCATTTGAGAACTGCTGCTTCAGCTGCAACAATGGCCATCAGTATCATTACCTTGTGTGTCACCGTAAATCACGACAACCAATTTATTATTTTAATATTTTTTGCCATCCATGTTCACTAATTTGGAAAAAAAAAATAATAAAAACTTATTAAACCTATATTGGAAACCATTTCGCTGGAAGAGATTAAACTGAAGATCTTTGAATTTTGATAAAAACTACAGCCAAAGCAAATCAAATGATGACAGTGTCAAAACTATGAAGTGACTTTTCTCTTTCAATTGTAATGGATACGGTTTTTTATTTGTTACAACAATACAATTTTATCTGAACAAGGAAATAATTCCAGTGACTCTCAAACCGTGTACCAATATTTTGGCGTTAAATAACATTTTTGATAATAACAATTGTGTGAGTTTCTTTCTCGGTTGCAGTATTTCTGTACTCTTCTATTACTAGGTCACTTTTCAACTCCAAGACCGTATTTATATAAATATAAATAATTCTCTTGCAAACAGGATTTTTTCATAACGGAGTTTTTTCACCATTTCTTCATACAGGCTGGATTATAAAAATCGCTCTAAGCGAAGACGTTACAACAATTCTTTGTTCAAAATTGAATAGTTTTTTGTTATTTGTCATTTTCTGTCTTAGATAAAATTAATAAAAATGTTCTATTTTATATCTATTTTAAAATCAAAAGTTAGTACATAATAAATAACTAGTTTACAAATAATAAGTTGTTTAACATAGCTGTAATTAAATTATTATTTTTAATTTTTATTTACTTCTAATTAAACAAAAATAATAGTTATTTTTTTATCACGTCACAGTTTTTTGTTACGAACGATAATTTTGTGATTATTAAAAACTTACTTTTTTCTCTTTTCTTTAAATCAATGTTAAAGGAGAAAAGAAAATATTTTCCAAAAAATCATAAGAGAATCTTATAAGACTTTTATTCCAGTTTTTGACACTACCCTTATATTCTCTGTGTGGTCATTGGTTGCTGAGATATCGATGATCAAAGACAAGAGAATCCTTTTTCATTTAAAGTCAGATATCTCAGCGACAAATTGACGTAAAGAGAATATGAAGAAAGCATATTAAAGGTAAACAAACACGTCCGTGGACCAAAAACATAAAAATTTAGAATTTTTTTTTTCTCGCGCTATTACTTAGTATTGTGTGATAACCGTAGCACAGAAAAAATATTTGCCAAAAGATCTCAAAACAAGAAATTTAAAGCTACAAAATGTTTTTTTTTTAATCTAGATACGGCCATTTTTTGATGACAACTTTTCAAAAATCACCAAAAAATTTAGGAAAATGTTTTGTTCCTTTAATTTTCGGGAGTAGTATATTTAAAAAAACTGAAATTGATGTCATGTCAGAATCCAGATTGTTTATTATTGACCAATGTTTTATAGTGGTAAATACAACACGTGACTCTCTGAAATGGATTTGTAAAAGTCATGTCTTCAGATTAAAACATTTAAGAGTTCAACTGAAATTATGTTTTTCATTTTTAAATTTAACAACAATCAATGTACGAGTATCAATAAAAAAATATTTATTTTATTCTAACTAGGATTTCCATGGTCTATTTTTGTTTGTTCAATTTGATGACAAAAAGTTATTTGGTTCTGTAGTTCATAAAGTGTAAGATGAATGGTCCGCTTATTTTGAATAGTTATCAACTATCAGCATACTAATCGTATGAGACCAAAAATTACACTAAACATTTTTTTTCTATTTCGGTGTCACAATGAGCATTTTGTGCAACTGAAAACTGTCGAATATATCGATAAATTCAATTTAAAAAGCGCTTAATAGAAAAAATAGTATAAAAAACGCGTGTTACAAACTCTCATTATGATACTCGTGCGTTTGTAACATTCGCATCACAATAATAATGTTTGTAACATTTGTTTTTTAATATACTATTTCGTGGTTTCGTGCAACAAATTCAGCTTCTATAAGTTATGGTATGGTGCATATTTTACGTTTAGTTCTATTATGAAATATGTATGTGTTCTACATTGAATTGGGTAAAAACACCGAATTATTTAAACATTAATTTTAACTCAATTTCTACGTGACATTTCAAAAATATAACAGTGTAACTTACCTGTCTTTAATACAGCTTTTCATTGGTAACCACGTAAGGCTGGAGCATTGATCAACTTATATTTTAAGGATGTAGTTGCTTTCAAACTCTGTTAGACTCGGTTTGTGGAAACATATATACCGTAGAGATACAGTTAAACCATGAAAATACTAATCAGATCAGCTCTCCTTTAGTAATGTTCAAACAGTTAAAATTGAACTTATGAAATCTAACTTTAAAATGCATTTTTTTAATGTAAATTATGAATTGTTTATGATATTTTTTTTCAGAGCGACGAGACAACAGTCTTGCGGAAATGTTACCCGGCGATGAGGCACGAAGAAGGCGATATAATCGAAGTCAGAGACTGCGTCCTTCTGAAAGCCGGTCCAAGAAAGAACGATTTACCCTTCGTCGCGAAAATCGCTTATCTGTGGGAAAATCCCGAGGACGGTGAGTTTTGCTCATTTCTGCGAAAATGTGTTTCTATTGTTCTGTTGACAGGTGAGATGATGATGTCGCTACTATGGTATTACCGACCTGAACATACTGAGCAGGGTCGAACACCTGCAGACCAACCCGATGAAGTCTTTGCTTCAAGACACAAGGACTCGAACAGCGTCGCTTGTATAGATGACAAGTGTTACGTACTTACCTTCCATGAATATTGCAGGTATGAAATTAATTAGAAAGGAGAATGAGTGATACTATAGTGTTGATTATAGGTATCGCAAGGACTTGCGGAGATTGGAAGAGGGGATTGAGGAAACATCGCCTTGTATTCCCACTCCGGAACCATATCCCAGGTGTAACAGACAACCGCCTTCCCCCATTCAAGTGTCATCAGACATGGTCTTCTTTTGCCGAAGAGTCTACGATTTTAGGCAAAAAAGAATAGTGAAGAATCCGAGTTAATTTTCTAACTCAACTCTCCAATGTTTATGTTTTTTAACTTATTTTTGTTAATCGTTGGTTATTGAAATTTTATGTAAGAGACGCGTTGCTCTTGTTTTTGTTCTACAAACTGAGTCGAGAAAACATCTAATCAAAAATCTTTTTATATGTTTTAAATATTCCAGAAACGAGGTTTTTATATAGAGTTAAGGTACAGTCAAAAGGATTTTTTAAAGAAAATGTTTTTTGGTCTTTTAAGAAATAAGACATCTAAATTTGATACGTATACATATTGTTGCATAAGAAGAAAAGGGAACATTTGTATTATAAAAAATTAGTTATCAATACTGTTGTATAGAAAATAGAGATGATTATATTATATATTTAACACAAAGGAATCATATTTATAATTAGTCTTAGTCATCGCTGGTGTAAAAGGTGTGTGCTTTTATAGATTGTAGAAGTGTTTCGTCAATGTCGTCTCTTCAAATATTTTGTAATTGTTTAGCTCTCGCATAAGTAGGAAAACAGTCAGCAGTTATTTTACAAATAATTTATGCTGAGGAGAGTACAATGATAGTCAGGGTTTGTACCACAATATTTTCCATCTTTGACAAACCATATTTTTGTTTTTAGTGTCGTTTAATCATTCGTACTTCTCTCACAAAGATAATACTAAAAAAAATCGCGTTTTGTAGTCGCAACTATTTTCTTATTTGTTATGTATTTTTAGACACAATTAGAGTACCTACTTATTTTTTTCTAGTTTCATTATTTCTACTTTAATTTATGAATAATATATTATTTTTTAAGCTCTTAGAGCCCTAAAATCGATTAATTTTAAATTGTAGCCAAAGTTAACGTTATTATTTTATGATTATTTATTGTGTTTAAATATTAAAATATTTGTATTGGTATCTCTTAATGTCTTATTATTGACCCACCCAGTTTTATTGTATCTTACGCCTTTTTAGGTGCCTTCTCCAATACCTCCAAGGCTATTATCCACTCGGCTTTTCATCATTTATTGTGTCATCATTTCTCTATTCCATGTTCACCCATTTCAAAATAAATGTGTGGAAAATTGGTGATATTTCATTTTACTACATCATTTTCTCTTTAAATTACATCCTTTAACATTATTGTTTTTTTTTTATTTTTAAATAATTTTTACTTAATAATGCCTGACGCAGTGAACTTTGTTATGTCAGCTATAATCGCTCTTCTGACTGGGATGTTTTCTCCGTCTTATTGATAACAAACGTATTACGTAAAAAAGACGTAACAAGGATTATCTGAAAACGTGTTTTTTGGTTGGAACTAATTTATCTTGAAGATTAGGTAAAAGCCCAGTTAAAAGCTCAACAGACTATGGCTTTGAATATGGTGAATGTTAACTGTATAGTAAATACTTTCGGTGATATTTTCTATAAAAGACAATTACATTCTGAAGAGGTTATTTTTCTTGATTTTCCTTGATTTGAGACAATGAATAATGTGTTTCTGATACTGCATACTATATTGTTATTTTATTACTTTCAACGCACCTACTTTACAGATTTAAAGAATTTTGGGTTTGTGGTGATTTTTTGTTTGTTATAAAATATAAAATAAAATGCTACTGAATTCTTCAATAAAGGTTTTTGATATTGTAGAAACAGACTTGGCTTCTGAACAATGCTGACAGAACTGGTCAACTAGCTGAAAAAGAATATCAGGCGATTCAAAAATTTAACCACGAATTTCCTTTTACAAATTAGAATAGATAGCACAGCATTTGTTGACCCACCTCAAAACAGAAAAGTTACAGCTTTTCGAAAATCGGTATAAAAAAAAAGATTTTCTGGAAATATTTTTGTTCTCTTTTATCCGATTATTATGAAACTGCATGTTAAAGGACAAAAGGACACTCTTTAATATGGTGTAAATGGAAGTCTTGTAAAAGCTATACATTTACGGGAGCCTTTCAATTTTTGGGTTATAACTTTTTTTTAAAGAATAACCCCTATTTTTGATACCAGAAATTGAAAACCCAATCATTTTTTTCATAAGTAGCTAGAACAATGAAATTACGTTGAAATATAAGGTAGATATAATAATATGAAATGTTAGTGTTCCATATATTTTAAAATGAGAGGGTTTCCGTAAATCAGTTGGTGTTTAAATAATTTTTTGTATTTATTTTATTTTTCTGTGAAATCACCGACATTCATAATTCATTCTTGTAAAATAACAGCCTTGATAGTATAGAGTGTAGCAATAAACTATATTATGGTAATCAACTAATAATATTGTATCAGTAAATAACAAGATAAATATTTATAGAATAAGTAAACTCAAATACGATTTTTTGATGTTATTAGAAACGTCCATTGTGTGTTTTACAGTGAGTGACATAGGATAGAAATCGACTTTGATTTTAATTATTATGTTATAATTCGGTAGAAAGTAAGAAAGGAAAGCCGGTTTGAATTGAAATGATTACATTCATAAATATTTATTGTGTAGTTTTTCTTTGTTTGAACTAGCGTTTTTATTGACATTGATAATCAGTTGATAATTTCTAAAAATAGTGAATTTGATCTCGCCGCGTAAATTTGAATTGCATTTTATCGTGATCAGATGATCGACTCGTGGCGTCGTACAGGTGGTGGATTCTAGATGTCACTTGGTTCTACTTGTCGGTAAAGTAGGTATCGTTCCTTTGAAGCTTTTATCGAATGGGTTTGATAGAGGCTCTTCGTGTAATTTCGTCCCGATTAGACGCAATCTGATTGGGTCCGAGTGCGTCCGAACGGGTCAATGATGTCTGAGCAACTGACTGCAAGTGTAATGGTGTGTTGAAAAGCCATTGCAAGTGAAAAAATGGTTTAACTGCTTGATTTAACAATGATAATGAGGTGTTTGTTCGTATTATAAGTGTTCGCGAACGTAGTGTGTGTCGCTCGGAACATTCACAGATCGAAATGTCCGTTTGAGGTGCGTGAGAAGGACAGGTCGTAAGAAGGGTGTCAGCAAGAAATGTGATAGGTCTGCGAATAATCGACTTTAGGAGAATTTGCAATGAGCGGACGTCCCAGAACCACGTCCTTCGCCGAGGGCAACAAGCAGCCGCTGAATCCCCCCCTGGGAGGCATGAAGATTAGCAGTAAGTGTGTGATTGACGTCGCAGCGGCGGTTGGTTACGGTGTCTCTGCGGTCGCGTTCAACATGGCTGCGCCCCGATGGGCCGTCAGCCGATTCCGAGGATCGCCACGGACCCATCGATCCAGGTCTACTAACTGACGCAAAAACGTTACGCGCGAGTTTGGGGCTC